TCATATGACCCAGCAATCCCACTACTGGGCATATACCCTGAGAAAACCATAATTCAAAAAGAGGCATGTACCATGATGTTCATTGCAGCTCAATTTACAACAGCCAGGACATGGAAACAACCTAAGTATCCATCAACAGATGAATGGATAAAGAAGATGTGGCACATATATACAATGGAATATTACTCAGCTATAAAAAGAAATGAAATTGAGTTATTTGTAGTGAGGTGGATGGACCTAGAGACTGTCATATGGAGGAAGTAAGTCAAAGAGAAAAACAAATACCACATGCTAACCCATATATATGGAATCTAAAGAAAAAAAAAAAGGTTCTGAAGAACCTAGGGGCAGGACAGGAATAAAGACGCAGACATAGAGAATGGACTTGAGGACACAGGAATGGGGAAGGGTAAGCAGGGACGAAGTGAGAGAGTGGCATGGACATATATACACTACCAAATGTAAAACAGATAGCTAGTGGGAAGCAGCCCCCTAGCACAGGGAGATCAGCTCGGTGCTTTGTGTCCACCTAGAGGGGCAGGATAGGGAAGGTGTGAGGGAGATACAAGAGGGAGATGATATGGGGATTTATGTATATGTATAGCTGATTCACTTTGTTATAAGGCAGAAACTAACACACCATTGGAAAGCAATTATACTCCAATAAAGATGTTTAAAAAAATAATAATATTGCACAAGAGGATACAAAAATTCATGAAGCTGTAGATGTATGATTTGCATACTTTTTTATATGTCCATTAGACTTTATTAAAAAGTTTACATATAAAAAATAATAACAGAGGAGGAGAAGTTAAGAAGGGTGTAGTTAAAACAAGATTATCCATGAACTGACAACTCATGGTGAGGTGGGTGGTGAGTACTACTCTATTTTTGTATGTGTTGCAACTTTTCATAATATAAGGTGCTATAAAATGTTACTTTAGAAACTTGAGCAACTGTAAGATTCAGATGCATGGTATAAAAGCAGTATATCTTTTAAATAAGACTTTGATTTAAGGTTTAGTGCATTAAAAATGAAAAATCAAATTTTCTTTGCAATTTTGTTGAAACTGACAATTTTTCCACAAAAAATTCTTGTCATAATTATGAAGGAAGACTCTATAAACTACGATGTATAGGTGTAGTAATTCTTGTGGAAAATTGTTCACATTCTGTCGTATACTACAATAAATTTATGATTGTAAATAAGAGAAAGAAATAATAAAATCTGTCTCCTAAAGACACAGTCAATAAGTTGGTTCTGATATGAGTGAAACTAATAGTTCTAGTATATCATAACTATGTATGGACATGTTTTGCATAAATCTATTTTATTCATTCCCTCTCTATCTCTTAAGATTCAGTAATATTTATCAAGTACCGTGAGATAACCAGCAGCCCTAGAGAGATATATTAAATGCAAATTACATATTATATGCATTCCCCAACTTACAGAAGGGTTATGTTCTAAAAGTTTATCTGTAAATAAGCATTTTGGGACTCATATCACATTTTTCCACTGAAACAATTTTATAAAAGGTAGTTAGGTCAATCAGGCCACCCCACAGAAATCTATAAAGTTAAACTTACTGGACCTATTACATTTTACTGCAGCACTGTGGGCTTTTTTTTTCCCAACTAACCACCTTGTACGACTATTTCTTTGATAAATGCAATAGGGATTCTAGGAATACTTCTCTTGTCAGAGGCTCTGTGTACACATACACACACACCCCTTACCTGGGTCTATGTGCCAAAATGTCCCTTAGTTATCAGAGTATGCAGAGTGGAGCAGAGTTTAGATGAGGGGCTCTTGCATTTGAAGGCTGCAGGAAGTTGGGGTTCTAGAGCTTACTAAGGGGCAGTAGTCTTGGGAGGTTCTATGGTAACTGTTCCTACTGGGTGTCACAGATATAGGGCAGAGATGGGGGATTATAACTTTCACCAGGTTTATCTTCTAGAAAATCATTTTTTAAAAAATTAGACACTTCCTAATAATCACTTTTAATATGAATTTTTAAATGTTTATAAACTCAGAGCAAAATAAATTATAGGTTACGTTTATGTACTTTAGCTGCATCCTAAGCTATAACAATAATCTCTTCTCCCCGACTGGACAGACACAGGCCTCCCTCCACCCACCACAGGGAGAGGATGCCAGCAGGAGGTCCTGGAAATGAGTGTTTAATCTAAGGAGAGGGATGCCTCTATTTGGGATCAACTTTTCTGCCCCACTCCAAGGCAACTAGGTTTCTTTGCTTTGAATATTTTTATGCCACAGAATGTTTTCTTGGATACAAGAAAAAGGTATAAAAAGCCACAGAGATAAAATGACTTAATTTCATATGTAAACACTTTCTTATATGCCTATTAATTTGATAATTTGAAAGAAAAATACATAGAGATTCAATATTTACATAAAACTACTAGGCCTAATACCACATACAGTTTCTTCTTTTTTCTTTTAAATTCAGAACTCCATGAACATGCTTCAATTATGCAGTGCTACCATACCATTATAAGATTGTAAATGTATTTTTATAAAGTCCAGGTCCATAAATATGACACAACTTTCCAGATTCACTATAGAATCATATCAGAAATCAAGAGTTGCAGATTCTTCCCTGTCTCAAACTCAGCCGACGTTTATTCCACTTGCCTGCATAGGTGTTGGCCTTGTTCAGGAGGTCTGTGCATGCGTGCATATCAGCGAAAGCCCGGATTCCTAAGCAGTTGACAGGGTGAAGCTGAGATTCCAAAAATTCACAGCAAGTCTTCTTCACATCCTGTAACTGTAACAGACCAGCTGCTGGGAGAAGTACCTATAACACACAAGTAAGCGTGGTTAGGCAACTGGCTAGAAAAAGTTTCACTGTTCACTGTGTCTATAGAGGGCTTAGGGGTCCAGCCACAGCTCAAGGTCTGCATCCAGACCCCAGCATCCCATAGAAGAGTAATGTAACAATTATTTGCAAAAAGGGTGATGCCTCCTTCCATTCCCCATAATTTCTATGGAATCTTTCAAAGATCTCTTCTTGGTCACAAGAATATAAGAGATATCAGATCATATTAGATTAATGATTCTTTTCATAAGCAGAAACAAAATGTTCCTTTGAATTTTAAAAACATAAATTATTAGGCTGTTAGGGGGTGCTATGGTTCAGTGAAAATGGTTTTCTTCCCTTAGTTCAAGCAGTCATGAGCTTCAGTGAATTTGTGGGGAAGGGGTGAGCACAGAGTAATATATGCCACAACAAAGCCTCATTCTGTTTTTCCACTGTCTCTGAGTAACACCACAAACTGCTTTCTTTAGGGGGATAGAACAATTTAAAACTCCACAGTCTAACTACAATCAAACAGTTTCTCTGAAATGTAATATATGTGCTAAAAAAACCCATAAAGAGTAATTGCCTAATAATAACTTTTTAATTTGTATTTTTATTTCAATAACTCCAAGAGATTTTGTATTAATTAGGTTATTCTTTGGGATTTAACCAGTATCTTTACTAAAAATACTACATCCAACACTACAACTGCTTTTCAAATAGGTCAATGATGGAAAAATTCTTCCTTGTAAGTGAATTAGTATGATGCTATGTAAAGGACCATATTTGAAAATCAAATTGGAAAACTTCTTAAAAAAAACTTCATAAAAAAGAAGTTTGCAAGTCCTTCTATAAAAGCCAAAGGGAAAAAAAAAACTATCAGAATAGTCAATTTAAGAAAAGGTCACATTGGCATATTAGCATAAAAAATAAATAAGATCTAAGTTCCTTCCAGAACTGACTTCCATATATGCCAAGCTGCAGCCCAAAGAGAAAAAGAGAAAAGAGATAGTAGTTTTGAATATCCTTTACAATTTCCCTAAATGTATGTAGTAAGTCCTAAATGTGGAAGAGAAAGAGTGCATTCGTATCTTTCTGTAACACAAACTACTCTATTTTCTTAAAGGAACCACAGCAGCTTTAACTCTCAGATCTAAAGGCTGTGGGCCCGCATGTACACAATCAAATGGTTATGAAGCAAGGACTAAGAGGACAACTCTTTGTGTTTTAGTCCAACTCCAACAACTAATACTAGTTTTCTCTGAAAACAAGGAAACAGTACCTGGTGATAATGTCTTTTCCTTCTAAATTTAACAAAAATAAAGTGTAAATAATTCTGTTTATAGCCGAATCTTTTGTATAATATATATAGTGTGTTTCATTATGTTATGGGAATGAATCTCCATGGAAGGCTTTAGTTGCTGACAATTTGCAAGTTGGAGTTTTTCTACACTGGTATAATTGTGCTCTGAAGTAACAGAGTACATTCCAAGATGCTTAACTGTGCAGCCATTTAATTCAGCAAACACATACAGTTAAGTGGTCTTCAGCATAAGATTCAATCTCTGTGAAATTTGCACAAATATCAGTAGTAATGATCACCCACCTAATCAGCATCTTCCCACAGACAACAAAGTATAATACAGTAGTACTCAAATTGCTTCGTAATACAGAAAGATAGGGATCCTTGAGGGGGAAAGCAGCCAAGCAGAAGCAGGTTCACTCACGCATTGTTGGTGAGTGTGTACACTGGTTCAACCTCCATGAAGAGCAATTTGTCTACTTAATCAAAATTACAAATGCACATATCCTCCAACCCAGAAATTTAACCTACAGATACACTAACATATGCACAAAAGCTCACACACACAAGACATTCATTAGAGCATTATTGTGGGTAATAGCAGAAGTTAGAAAAAAGCCTAAATGTCCACCGTAAGGAGACTGGTTAAAGACTGGTGATCATCCATTCGATGGAACACTGCAACCATTCAAAAGAATGAGGAAACTATATGAATGGGAAAATTTCTAAGATATATTCTTAAGGGAAAAAAATCAGCAATTGGTTCATACTATGCTGACATACACATACACACCCATATTTATATACATATCCATCTAAAAAAGCAGCTATATCAGACTTTTAAAAATTTATTTTGCTTCCTTGACTTCAATTTCATCACTACCAAGTCTAGACCTACCTTATCAGGAGACTGAAATTCATAAAACTGTAGAATCCCAGATCTGGAAAGGATATGGCAAGTCATGTAGGCCAGAGATATAAAAGTTATTTTAATTGTAGGCCACATGGCTAGAGATTCACATATAATTTTTTATTGATGGCAATGATGGGTCAAGTGGTTCCATGCCTGGCAAACATATATTAAGTACACCTTAAATGTTAGTAACATGTGTAAAATGAATTTATTTATATTTTCCTTTTATCAGTAAATCCTTCAAAAATGCCTCAGCTTTATGATGTAATTTTACTAGGATTAAACTTCAATAGCTCGTAATTATTAAATAATTATATATGCTTCAAAAACAATTAATAACTGGCCCAGGCTTACTAACATGATGAAAACAGGAAAGCAGCTGGGACCACACCAAATGCCCATATTACTCTATGTATCAGACAACCAGCTAAAAAACCAAACAAACAAAACATGCTCAAATTACAGATGAACCACATCCCACAATCAGAATCAAACAGCTGGCAGTCTATGAGCTAGATGCCTTGGGATCAAGTCAAATCAAACCTCCTGATTTGTCTGATGAAGAAACCAAATCCTAGAGAGGCCAAAAGATCTAAACAAGTTGCACAGAGATAGTGATATAAAATTCACCAACTCTTTGGTCTATTACTCTTTCCACTACCTTGAGCCCCACCTGTAGATGCAGAATGGAAGTGCTTGTCTAATTTCTAAATCTGCAATGTTGCTCTTTTCAGAAGAGTAATAAAGACGAAAATCACTTCAACCAAATTCATGCAGTTTGCTTCCGTTTACTGACTAATTACTGTGTCGGGCACTGTCTTAAGCACTTGACAGGCAACAACACCTCATTACCCCCATTAGACACAATGAATACAGAGGCTGGGAGAAGCAAGTAAGTTGCCCTGGATGGGATAGCTTGAATCTGCTAGGAGAGAGGTATTAACCAAAGTGGGTATAATGCTTTTAGATGGCACAGACGAACATTCTCATGTTAATAGTTGGGAATACATCTTTAAAGTTACTGTCTATTTATTTCAATAAAATAAACTCTTAAGGAAATTTAAGCAAAAACTGAGTCATGAAGATAAAAACATTACGTATTTAATAGTATGAGCACTACAGAATATAGCAAATCATGAAGGTGGCACACAAATTACTGATTTGGGAGATCAGATTTAGTATCCTAATCTTTCAATATCGGATATCATTCTGGCTTCTGTGGTTTTTACATATCGCTGAAAAGGAAGATGTGCTTTTTAATCTGGGGGGATCATAATCCCATGGTTTATTTTCTACAAAGTGGATTAACTGTACAGTTAGTAACAAATGTGGGAAACACCTATATTGTGAAGAGGTGGTTTCTTAATGTGCTATTCAGGTCACAAAAATATCTTGGGCATTATAATTAAGAGATCTGAAGAATAAACTTATGTCTCTAAAACTAATTTTCCTGAGCTCTCTAAAGAAGTAATTGAATAGTGCTGCTTCATATATGAAATGGAAGTATATATATATATATATATATATATATATATTTTTTTTTTTTATAATAGCTTTATTACTTTGCCAGGCAAAGGGGGACACAGCAGCCTCCTGCCTCAAAAACCTATGTGTTCCAACCCAGGAGGATTTGATAAGGCGTTTTATAACAGTACTTCCCAAGGGATGGGTTGCTGACAAGATTACGGTGTGTGCAGGGTCTCAGGTCCTTGGTCTCCTAATCTTTTTTTTTTAATTTTTAAATTTAATTTATTTTTTTATACAGCAGGTTCTTCTTAGTCATCAATTTTATTCACATCAGTGTATACATGTCAATCCCAATCACCCAATTCATCACACCACCACTGACACCCCACTGCGGCTTTCCCCACTTGGTGTCCATATGTTTGTTCTCTACATCTGTGTCTCAATTTCTGCCCTGCAAACTGGTTCATCTATACCATTTTTCTAGGTTCCACATATATGTGTTAATATACGATATTTGTTTTTCCCTTTTTGACTTACTGCACTCTGTATGACAGTCTCCAGATCCATCCACGTCTCAACAAATGACCCAATTTCGTTCCGTTTTACGGCTGAGTAATATTCCGTTGTATATATGTACCACATCTTCTTTAACCATTATCAGTCGATGGGCATTTAGGTTGCTTCCATAACCTGGCTATTGTAAACAGTGCTGCAATGAACATTGGGCTGCATGTGCCTTTTTGAATTATGGTTTTCTCTGGGTATATGCCCAGTAGTGGGATTGCTGGGTCATATGGTAATTCTATTTTTAGTTTTTTGAGGAACCTGCATACTGTTCTCCATAGTGGCTGTATCAATTTACATTCCCACCAACAGTGCAACACGGTTCCCTTTTCTCCACACCTTCTCCAGCATTTGTTGTTTGTACATTTTCTGATGATGCCCATTCTAACTGGTCTGAGGTAATACCTCATTGTAGTTTTGATTTGCATTTCTCTAATAATTAGTGATGTTGAGCAGCTTTTCATGTGCTTCTTGGCCATCTGTATGTCTTCATTGGAGAAATGTCTATTTAGGTCTTCTGCCCATTTTTGGATTGGATTGTTGGTTTTTTTAATATTGAGCTACATGAGCTGTTTATACATTTTGGAGATTAATACTTTGCCCGTTGATTCATTTGAAAATATTTTCTCCCATTCTGAGGGTTATCCTTTTTTCTAGTTTATGGTTTCCTTTACTGTGCAAATGCTCTGAAGTTACATTAGGTCCCATTTGTTTATTTTTGGTTTTTTTTCCATTACTGTAGGAGGTGGA